TAATATCTAACATATAAGGGTTTAGTTTAGGTTTAGGATATAGGCGTAGTTGGACCCGGTAGGTGGCGCTGTGGTAGAATCCAGACATCACCCGTGAGAAGCCGGGGCAGATCACTAGTATATCGATATATGCTTTTTTTACATGTATATTAAGGTACATGAGTGTAATATGGTCACCTTAAGCTTTGTCGCCCTAAACAACCAAAACTAGGAGGAGGATAGATACAAAAACATAAAGTCGTATAGTATAACTAATATATTAATAAAAAAAAATAGCAAATAAGCTTTGGCAATAATTAGGATCTTCGAAAGTCAATTTAATAAAAACTAACTACATTACGCCGTACGAGAATCGACTGAAATATTTAGTATACTATCAACTGTTAAAATGGCGTCGATGAAGCTGCGTCCTTCGACTATTTATTATTTGATTGACTGATGAAGAGCTATCATATCTCAGTCTTCTATGCATACGTGGCCATATTAACCGGATGGCCATATACCCTCACGTACTATATACATATATTTATATCAATATTGCACACGTAGTATAGTATACACATGAAAATATAGATATCCTTTAATGTTATAATATTAAGAATACGAATAGAGAAGTTATTTTGCTGCAGAAAATTGAAAAATATTTGTTTGAATTTATCTTTTGACATGTTAAAATTTTTAAAGTAATTCGAATTTCAGTTGTCGGGAGCGAATAATGGAGTGTGTTTTATACGCTTCTTTGGTTATATTATTTATTAGCTTTATTATATTATTGGCTATATTAAACAACAACAACATAATATCCGAGACAGTAAGTCTATTTTCTAAGGAATTTACTTTATGATGTTTGCAGGTTGTAAACACAATCTTCAACTTGACTTGTTCTTCAAATTGCTACAAAATAAGTTATTTATTTGCAACCCTTAAGGGGTGAAATTTGTTCTCCGAATTTGTATGGGACCATCTCTGAAGTTATTACCTATTTAAGAAAAAAAGAATCATTAACATCGGTTCTGCGAAGATATATGAAATTCCTTAAACAATAGTGAAAAGTTTTCCATTATTTTTATAGAATAAGGGTAACAAACGAGCACAAGTCCACCTGATGGCAAGTGGATGCTGTGGCCCATAGACATCTTCATATATCCCTGATTAAAATTCTAAATCATATTTTTTATAGGAAAGGGGGTCAAACTAGCACACAGCTGATGGTAAGTGGTTGCTGTGGCCCGTAGACATCTACATCTATCCTCAGTTACGAATTAAAATGCAGATGCGTTGTCACCCGTGAGGACTAAGATGGAATGCCTCGTTTCCAGTAAAAAGGGTCTCCGGTTCTCTACACTCACCATACGAAATACAGCACCATTAAGCTACTATTTGACACTGGTATTCTGTGAGAGCGTGGTCCCTCCCCGGTCGAGCCGACCCATTCATGCTACAACTTTACTACTAATATAACTGCAGCATGGCTCTACCACGTTTATAACATGCGTTGTAATCCTCGAGAACTCAGATGAAATACCTTTTTTCTAGCAAAAAAGTTTATCCGGTTCTTTACACTCACCATATGACACACAGAAGCATTAAGACGACACATCGAAAACGCTATCGCCGTACTGATCCGAGTGAATACATAATTTCTATAAACTTGAAACGCCGTCATAAGGTCTAAAATTGCGTGGCGCCCGCGTCGATTAAAAGCGCTTAGAAATTGTCAGAATCTTAAAATATTTTTAAAAAAATTATTGATTTAAGTAATCAAAATAATGAGCAAGTATATTATGAATATTGATGTTATGAATATATTTGAGTGATTCCCAAGCATATAGATCAAATGATTTCGTTGTAATTTCAACTATAGTGATTTTTTAGAGGTGTTTACGCAAATAATTATGATCGAGTCAAAATTATACAATCGTGTTTTTGAGCAATCAAATTCAAGATAAAGACATGAATTTACCTATATCAAAATCCCACTTTCGTTAGTGGTGTCATAGTCCTACACTATCCGATGTAAAGAGGTGCATTTTTTTCACGGTGTCGTCTTAAGCTGCTACTTTACACTAGTTTTCAGTGAGTCCGCCCCGGTCTTAACCCCTGAGCTAGCACGCCTTTGGAAATGGAATGACTATCATCATCATCTAAGAGAGAGAATGAGACGACTTTCTGATCTTGTCTCATTCTCTCTCTTAGATGATGATGATCGAAGTTTAGTTTTCCGTAGGTTTCACTTTTTACGCATGTGAACTGCACATATGTTTTTTTTATTAGATAGAATATTTCCTCCTATATATGGGCTAATGTCTCCCACAGCTACTCAAAACTCTTAAACTATTTATGAAACAAGCATAACAATGTAAAAAGGTGGGAGAAATAAATGTTCATTATTATTGTTACATAAATTTATATTATATACTGTACCCTATTAAGTACCGTGTAGTGGACCTGTAAGAATACCCACTAGTCCATTTCGTCCCTGGGTGTCGTTGGAGGCGACAATGGAAAACAAACCAGGAAACGGGCGGCAGAATGTTCCCAATAACAACAAGAAATAGCTATAAAACATGCGAGCCTAGCGTGGCAGCTCTGGCAATTCCTCCTATATAGAAGGCCATTATTCAGCAGTTCATATCGCGACAAAACTCACGTGTATCCACACCATCTGGATGATTGATGGTCCACCACTGTACGTTTTACTCGGATTTTTCTTCCCCGCACAACCTCTTTGCGGAATAGTTTACCACCGGCGATTTTTCCGGACCGATATGACTTTCGGACCTTTAAGAAAAGAGTTTACTCCTTTTTAAACAACGCAACTGCATTTCCCCTGGTGTTGTAGTTGTTCATGGGCGGCGGTAGTCACTTACCATGAGGTGAACCGCATTCTCGTTTGGCCCATACTATAAAAAGTTGATACTGAAACGGGAGATGAGCAAAAGGATTTACCTTATAAAAACTCAAAATAAATAAAAAATTGACACTGAAACGGGAGATGAGTAAAAGGATTTACCTTATAAAAACTCAAAATAAATAAAAAATTGACACTGAAACGGCAGATGAGTAAAAGGATTTACCTTATAAAAAAGCAAAATAAATAAAAAAATTGACACTGAAACGGGAGATGAGCAAAAAGGATTTACCTTATAAAAACTCAAAATAAATAAAAAATTGACACTGAAACGGGAGATGAGTAAAAGGATTTACCTTATAAAAACTCAAAATAAATAAAAAATTGACACTGAAACGGCAGATGAGCAAAAGGATTTACCTTATAAAAACTCAAAAAATAAAAAAATTGACACTGAAACGGGAGATGAGCAAAAGGATTTACCTTATAAAAACTCAAAATAAATAAAAAATTGACACTGAAACGGGAGATGAGTAAAAGGATTTACCTTATAAAAACTCAAAATAAATAAAAAATTGACACTGAAACGGCAGATGACCAAAAGGATTTACCTTATAAAAACTCAAAAAATAAAAAAATTGACACTGAAACGGGAGATGAGCAAAAGGATTTACCTTATAAAAACTCAAAATAAATAAAAAATTGACACTGAAACGGGAGATGAGTAAAAGGATTTACCTTATAAAAACTCAAAATAAATAAAGAATTGACACTGAAACGGCAGATGAGCAAAAGGATTTACCTTATAAAAAGCAAAATAAATAAAAAATTGACACTGAAACGGCAGATGAGCAAAAGGATTTACCTTATAAAAACTCAAAATAAATAAAAAATTGACACTGAAACGGGAGATGAGTAAAAGGATTTACCTTATAAAAACTCAAAATAAATAAAAAAATTGACACTGAAACGGGAGATGAGCAAAAGGATTTACCTTATAAAAACTCAAAATAAATAAAAAATTGACACTGAAACGGGAGATGAGTAAAAGGATTTACCTTATAAAAACTCAAAATAAATAAAAAATTGACACTGAAACGGCAGATGAGCAAAAGGATTTACCTTATAAAAACTCAAAAAATAAAAAATTGACACTGAAACGGGAGATGAGCAAAAGGATTTACCTTATAAAAACTCAAAATAAATAAAAAATTGACACTGAAACGGGAGATGAGTAAAAAGGATTTACCTTATAAAAACTCAAAATAAATAAAAAATTGACACTGAAACGGGAGATAAGCAAAAGGATTTACCTTATAAAAACTCAAAATAAATAAACAATTGACACTGAAACAGGAGATGAGCAAAAGGATTTACCTTATAAAAACTCAAAATAAATAAAAAATTGACACTGAAACGGGAGATGAGCAAAAGGATTTACCTTATAAAAACTCAAAATAAATAAAAAATTGACACTGAAACGGGAGATGAGCAAAAGGATTTACCTTATAAAAACTTAAAATCAATAAAAAATTGACACTGAAACGGGAAATAAGCAAAAGGGTTTACCTTATAAAAACTCTAAATAAAACAAAACTGCAGTTTGTGACATTCAAGGACATCCCTGGAGGTATAAATAAGTCAGTATTACGTCATTGAGCCAATTCCATCTTAGTTCTCAGGGTTGATAACATCGAAAATAGATGAAAATGTCTAAGGGTCACTACCACTTACCATCAGATGGATGGACTGTACCTATCATTGTTTATCACGCTTATTCTATAAAAATAATGTTAAACTTGGTCCGAGTAGCTCACAGTATGTATTATTACTTAATTACTTACCTATATAAACATCTAAAATCATATCAAAATTATGAAGAACATGCTTCGTTTTATTGCTATTTATTTGAATGTCGTTAATTAGTTTTTAATGTCGAAACAAAATATGGCGGCAAGGTCCGTGATATGTAATGTCAAAACAAAACACAAACCAGTAGTGCGTGGGTTGGCGGCGGACGCGCTAGCCTTGCCAACGAGGAAAACGGTTAGAATAAACTAAAGCCTAAGCAAACTAATTTGCAAAATACCTGTATTTCGTGCAAGTTAAATAGAATCAGTGAAAAATTATATCTGTTTTAGCAAATCATTTGGCACGCAATGTAAGTTCAAACTACTTTATTCGATTTCTTTAAATATTATGTTGTAATAACAGGATCTTAGCGATATTTAAATTTTCAATCAAAGAAACATAAACAAATTTTATCAGTGTTCGAGAACAAAAACATACTATAAAATCTATTTAAGTATTAGTTTTTTTGTCCGTTTGTAAGGAAATATTTTTCGTAAATATTTGTGAACATAATTATAAGTTGTGATATAATTACAAAATGGAACTTTATACTGTAAAGAATAAAGACATTTTTTAGAAACCGTTATATTTTATAACTTTCCAAGAATGCACTATTGTTGACCATAAGAGAAGGCTTACATAACATTAATTAGAACTACATAAATTTTAAGTTCTCAGTATGCAGTGGTGATTTTAGAATATCTACTACCCCATATCGTCCCATGGGTGTCGTAAGACGTGACAGAGTGAAACAAAACTTAGAAAAATACTGCGATTGTCAACCCGTCGCAGCGTGGCAACCATGGCAAATGTCTCCGTTATAAGGCAATCTATAGGGAGCCCTATGTTCACCGGTGGTCTTAAATTAGCTGTAAGATATTAATTAATGAATATAGTTTCAAATTCACATGCTACACTCAGCTGATCAACAAACTAGACTCTTAAAAAAACATCTTCTAATGATGTTTTGTTTTCATTCTTTAGGACGCCAAGGTTAGCGCACTCTAACCTGCCCACCGTCATGACTAGTGTCACGGTAATTTTATCTATGTTGCCAACCCTACTGTACAATTAGGGGTACCGAACACTGTAATTTAAAAATATAATAAGTGTAACTACCATATTTAATTGAGTGTAACAATGGTGTGAGACTATTAATAAAGGCTAAAAATATTACTTTAAAATGGAATATTGCTTTTTTTGCCATATAGGTACCTATATATACAAATTGATCGTATTTACATGTGACCATATGAGAAGTACCAGCTTTCAAATAAAAAATAGAATCACCAAAATCACTTCATCCAGAAAAAGTTGTGAGGTAACAACACACACAAAGAAAACATATAGTCGAATTAAGTACCGCCTCCTTTTTGAATTCGGTTGATTAAATTATAGAGATCTTCAGTTGTGGGCCCATCACGGAAAAACTACTGTATAGATTTTAATTCTTGGACACTTGGCCCTTATCTAAAAAAATTACTGCGATATCTTCATTTAATATTATAAAGTTATTAAGGGGAAATATAACCTCAAATGTCTTAGCAAGATCCTCCGTTATGCCGAAAATATTGCGGCATTAATTTTGAAATAAATATATGGTGAAGTTGAGGATTAATGTTAAGTACTATGTTAGACGAAAACATGATTCCGTAAAATTTTCTCGATAGAAAAAAATCCAAAGTCACCTCCAAACTGAATAAAAAACCGCTGTTATTCATATAATACTTTAAATAAGATCATAAAACTTGAACATGAACCTTTTCGGCATTAAGTTCGTCTTTGTACCAAATTGTTTTGTTTGAGTGCAATAAAGAATTTTCTATCTATCTATCTATGAAACTTTGCATACTAACTGAACTAGCTATAAAGCAGGGCTTATGTTCACCTCGGGCGAGGAAATTTTCGCACACCTATTGTTTCACTTCTACACTACTACTACCTAAACGTAATGATATAAAAATTTATGTTAAAGTTACAGCCTATATACGTACCACTGCTGGGCACAGGCCTCCACTCATTTTCCGGAGGTTTTAGGCCAAGGAAATGTCCGCCGCGGTGCTGCAATGCGTGTTGGCGAAGTCATCGCAATATTTTCTTTCTTATTCCCCTAAACGTAATGATATAAAAATTTAAGTTAAAGTTACAGCCTATATATGTACCACTGCTGGGCACAAGCCGCCACTCATTTTCGGGAGGTTTTAGGCCGGTTCGGGAGATGTAGGCGAAGTCATCGCAATATTTTCCTTCTTATCCCCCAGACATGCATGTTTCCTCACAATGTTTTCTTTCACTGCGGCGCATGTGGGTATATCAGCATTAAAAATTGCAAATAAAAATTTCATAGGTGCCGTCGGGGATCGAACCCAGGTTGCTCACGTGCTGTTAAATTTACAGCGGGCGCTTAGCCGCTGAACTACCACGACTCGAAATCGGTTATTCAGCTGGTGTTTAAAGCGAATAGTAGATTCCTAACCATCACAATTCGCGCCCTTTTCACAATGACGCACACCGATAATTTATTCCTATTTGTTTTTATTTTAGATATTTGAAGTAATCATATTTTTAACCGAGACTATTAATTATATACAGATGACTGTACTTTGCGGAAATTCCCTCGGCGTAATAGGTTCATTGTTTTTATTTTTAATTATTCATAATGCTATCATAATTGCTCATTAACTGTACCAAGCTAAGATAAGCAATTTTCTTGAAACTGGATATTATCGTTATATATAATATATAACTTAACCTAGCAAAAAATTTAATTATTTATATTTCTATATATTTCAACTATATTTGTGCATATTAGTATAGAATCATTGCTACAATTTCAATCGAATTTCTGTTTATATTAAATAGACATTGTATTTTTATATATTTAGGGTGTGAGAGTAATATGTTGTGTTTATAAGTTTACTTTATTATAACTTAAAAATTACATGTTTATTCGTATAGATGGCTGTGTAATACGATGGCTGTTCATCAGTCAATCAATTATTGAAAGGTCAAAAGGCGCTGCTATATCGACGCCATTTTAACAGTTGACAGTAGGTATAATATATACGGTTATTAACTGTGTTTTTTTCCGAGTTGATGTTTCAAAGTATTTTAATTATTGCCAAAGCTTGTTTTGCTATTTTTTTTCTTAATATATTAGTTGTATACAACTTTGTGATTTCATCTCTGTACTCCTCTTGGTTTTGGATTTATAGTTATAAGTTTTTTTATGTAGATCTAGAGTGTTAACCAAGTTGGCTTTGATATGAGATTCATTCGTGTGTCAAGGATTCGTACGGGCATTGGCATCCCTTGACACTATTGTTGTTGAAAACGTCTTTTCAGTTATTTTGACATGGATTTTTATTAAATTACCATAAGTCATCCATAGCTATATTTATTGTATTATTTTATATATATGTTGTAGTGCCAATGTGTCGGCTGGACCGGAGAATGATACCAGCGTGAAATATCCGCTTAATGCTGCTGTGTTTCGTATGGTGAGTGTAAGAAATCGGAAGGCCTTTTTACTGGAAACAAGGGGTGGCAACTGCCTTTGGATTTTTAATCGAGGAAAAATATAAATGTCTATGGGCCACACACACACACAGCATATGGTAAGTATATCATCATCAGATTGACAGTGTGCTCGTTATTCCAAGGAACCCGTTTTAGCGATTTCTGGTATAAATAATATTAAGGAATTTTTTAATTCAGTTTTTATTCACTTCCGGCCGTCTGAACAATTGCAGACGCATTACAATGATTCTATGGCCAATACAATAATTTCATGACCATAACCTAGTATTGTCATCGTGGCCATCACAACTCATAATTAAAGCGTTATGTTGGAGTGTTTACAAATTTCATTTAAAATAAGAAAAAATAATCCTATACCTTTAAACGAGCAATTCTTGTATATATATATATATATATATATATATAATCGGAATCTCGGAAACGGTTCCAACGATTTTCATAAAATTTTGTGTCCAGGGAGTTTCGGGGGCAATAAATCGATCTAGCTAGGATTTATTTTTAGAAAATGTCTTTTTTATCCGTGTTTTTAGGCAATGAAAAACTGCAACAATATCGATAAAATAAGAAGGTAAATTTTGACAGTTTTTTTTTTTCAAGTTCCATTCTCATACGGCCAGCAGTGAAGAACCACATCTCAGATCCATAAAAAGAATCAGAATCAAAGACTTTTGTCACAGTTCATTTAAGCAAGGCAATGTGACAGGTTGTACTCTTCGATCTTCTGTACAATTTCCCGGGGTAGGTAATAGGACGTAAGTGAAAGAAGGTAGGTAAAAGGGGGCAGGGGTATGTATCTGGTCTACTATACTAAAGCATTTTCGGATACAAGCTTGTTCGGGTAGCTGGAAATCGTGGAGACGATTCGTAATGTCTCTCGAAACCAGCACGTGGAAGCGGCTCAGAAGGGAAATTGGTCTGTAGTTCTTCAAAAGAGCGTTGTTATCTTTCTTTAAGAACAAGACCACTGCACTTCTGTTCCTCGCCTCCGGAGTAGTGCCACCATAGAGGGCGAAATTGAAGAGTTTCGGAAAACTTGAAGTACTGGTTTTTCCACTCGCTTTCAGAAGCTCCACTGTAGTTCCACCCTCGTCTGGGGCCTTGCCATTTTTAAAGTGCTGTTGAACTATTCTAATCTCTCTCAGATTGCCGTTCGGGATATCATCGGAACAGTGTTGGATAAGAATTGTTGTAAGTGAAACTAGTTATTTAAAAACATCGACATAAATTTGATAAAAATGAAATAAATTATAATAACGAAATATTCAGAAACAAGTACTATCTCTCTTTAAAGTTAAAATATTAAAGTTACAGCCTATATAGGTCCCACTGCTGGGACCAGGCCTCCCCTTATTTCTGACAGGGTTTTAGGGCAAAGAAGGATCCTCCGCGCTACCCCAATGCGTATTGACGAAGTGCACATGTTTTCGAAATATTTTTTGTTCTAATTCCTCAGAAATGCAGGTTTCCTCACGATATTTTTCTTCACCGCCGAGCACGTGGTAAATTAGCATTTAAAATTGCATTTAACATTTCATTGGCGCTGGTAATACCATCTGAGCTAGCACAACTCATATTTCTCTCTTTGATTGCGTATTAATCGATCTGTGACAATCCGATAATCAAGCTTCCGACATTTAACTTGCTAACTGATACAGAAGTAATATAAAAGGCTTATATATAGTAATATAAACCTTATCTGAAATTACCTTTCTGCATTTAATGAACCGAATAATCGTACCTAACGGAACGCGTTAAATTTTATTTTTATAC